CACTGTAGATAAAAGAAAAGGAATCTTAAAACTATAAAGCTAAATAGTAGTTATTAGAAACATTAGATCTAACAATGAAAGTCAGCACACTCTCAACTGAGATTATAGTATGCAGAAAGATATTTCAGGTCAGACATGGCATCACATGGGAGAAATAAACTAACCGCCTTAGTCCAAGTACGACATCAGTAATACGTGATTGTCAAGAAGAAGTTTTAGTGGACCCTAATGGATTTGCTTTGATCTGCCTTCTGATTATAAACTTCATTTAAATTTTTACAAGGGACCCTAAGTGGGTTAAAAAGTTCACAGCTGAATTTCCATTGGCTAAATTCTATAAAAAGGTAGTTTCTTAATGAAGGTATGAGAGCAATGAAATTAATGTCATTTAGCAAAGCCATCGAATCGATAACGCCATTTAACAACTCAACTAAAAAGGCTATGCCTAAGACAAACCTACGCTTCTTTGGTGAACGAAAGGATGCAGTGTAGCAACACCTGTTTTCGTGCGGTCGAAGATGTCCATGTGGCTCTTAACCTAATTTTCGTAACGCAAATAGCATGAGTTGTTTTTGTATGCATTGAATTCAACGATACGAAGATCCTTGGCTTGAACGATTAAAAGTCACCGTACGAGCGAGGCATATTTCAGTATAGTTTCGAAATGTGAGGGTCGACAAATTCCCTCGCCTAACTTTTAATAAAACCTACTACAGACCTAGCTTTATTCACATATGTACAATATATAAATTAAAACCAAGTTTACAGTCGATCGTCATAGAAGGCACTACATTTATAAGTTATTCAAAACATCTTCGAGGAGACGTGAGCAATGCTCTAAATTAAAAGCCGATAATTTAACATCCTCAGCGTATGTTAAGATATAAGACGATTTAATTGCCGATGGCAGATGTAATGATCTGTATAGAGTAAAGAAAATGCATTCTAAGAGACTACCTTGAGCGACTCCTGAATTGCGAAGAGGGAACCTTCGAAGATCTGCGTTCAAGTTATAGGGAATGTCACTTAACTAATAGCGCGGGATATAAGTAGCCTGCCCGATGCCTTCAGCAACATTCGGAAATAGGAAACCTTCGCAAACGCGAACTGTTGTAATTTTTATCCCAAAAATTCTTTCATTTCTGTTTCAGCAAATTTAATGCAACAAAATTCAAAGCCTTTTATGTCAATATCTGACCAAAAAAGTGTTTATTATTAATTATTTCAGTGGCCAGGTTGTTGAAAATTCGGTTTAAAGCGAGGTACGAATTTCATTGTATTTCTTGGTTTTTTTTTCAGGGGGCGGGGGGAGGAAAACATTAAAAAAATTGTATTTTTTTGTTCACAATATTTTTGTTATCGTATTTGTTGTTGTATTTGTTTTATATTTACTTGCAATTATTCTTATATCAACACGGAAAGCGGTCAATCTCATTTGTAATTCAAAATCATTATTAAATGAAAGTTCAAAATTCAGTTTAGTTATAGTAATTTCCCGTTCTTCATGTACTTGTTTCATGTTTTGTTTTACACTACGCCACACTACACACTGTGTACCTATACGCATTTTACTAAAATCATATTTGCTTCAAGTCAAATATCATATGCATATATATAGAAATATATTGTGAATAGACATGAATTCATTTTGTTTCCATATCCGCAAGAATTTGGGTCATAAAGTTATTTTTGTAAAATTTTTACTTGTTGAGAAAATGAAATGGAAACAAAAAGATATATAAAATAAAAAAATATTACAAAGAAAAAAAGAATATGACACTCACCGCAAGAACAATAACGAAAAAACAAAGAATTCTAACAAATTATTTTATGGCAAGAGGTAAAAAGTTTTCAAAACGAAGATACAGATTAAAAACCTAAAAGAAAACCCATGAAATGCAGCTCGCAGAACAGTTATTTTGCGAAATTGATATTTTTAAAAAAAATTTATTTTTTTTTCAAATATAATTTGTTTCTCTTTTGCGTTTTTTGTTAAAAAAAAAAAGTCAAATAGTTTTTTCATTTATAAGATTTCGGTTGGTTTGATCAACATTTCACTTAACTAATATTAGAAGGAAAACTCATTAATTAAATTTCATCACTTTACTCTTGTGTTAAGCGATTTAAAAATTCATTTCGTTTCCCGTTACACTAATGCGACGAAATTTCAAAATCTACTGATTCGAAAAACTTTACGAAAAACTTACCTCAACTATTAGACACGTATGAAAAACGGTAAGGAAAACGTAGAGAGATACAATTATATATGAATTCTCTTCTACTTAAGTTTATATGTTCACAATATACATATATATGCATATATATGTATAGTGCTCACAGACGCACTTGATCAATATTTACTTTACATTTGTGTATATATTTTTATTATATAAAAATACAAAAATCGCAGAAAAATAAATCGGTCTTCTCTCATATATTGACGAAAGAAAGCAATCGTATAACTTTGGCACTAATGTAAGAACAACAAAAATGTACGCAATTGCCTTCTCCATCAAGAGCAAGAACGAAGCGAGAAAACATTTTTTTTAGTTTGTTGGCGTTTTCCGATTTGTAGGTAGGCTGTCAAAAAAGTAGCAGGAATAAAACCTTTTCTTAATTAATATTCGAATCGATAAAATTGCAAGCAACAAAATAGATCGAGAGCGAAATGACGAAAATGTTTATATTTTTTCCAATCTGTGTACGTTATAGAATATATATATAGAATATTCAATATAAACTTTCGTCTTAGTTAATATTTGAACTGATACAATTGTAGGGAACAGAATGAAACACAGGCGACAGCAGAAAAACGTTTGTATTTTTTTTTTTTTAAGTTATACGCAGCCTGTCAAAAATATATCAGGGTTATTCTGTTCCAATATGCTTCTTAGCATAGATATTAGAGATATGGTCTCGTTTACTTAATAAACAGACTTTACATTACCGGGAAAACAATTCTAGGGGAGCTGAAGCCTTTTCCCTTCCTTTTTTCCGCTTGCCATATATTAGTCCATTCACTAGTCTGCCGCTTATTTTAACATATAAGTAAGAGACTACAGCTATCCAATAAGTTTAGTCCCAATGTTGTTTTTCATAAGTACAACGTCTACTTGCCAGGACTCAGGTAAGTGAATTTGTTGCTGATAGACCAGGACGACTGCATCTTCCTGATATTTTCCTGCATATTTTGACCAACACTTGTTTTTTTTTGAAGATACACAATTTTGTATATAAAGACGTGGAAGAGGTTTTGGCCGCATGCTCAGGTAAGGGCGCTGACAAAGTGATGCTCCTTTTAATTCTTATCGCCGATATCGTTACTATTATTCCATTAGTTTAATGGCCAGGAGCATTTTTTCCACGTGCCAAACTTATGTAGAAGTTTTTCTTATTTTCAACTGCTTTTTGTATCTTCTAAGCTATCAAACGTCGTCGATCATCGTCGGAACTTTTGAACTGTTAAAAGGAAAACACGAATATGAGCAACCAATTAGGTGATGTCACCTATGCGGGTCACACGGTGATGATCAGTAAAAAATGCAAAAAGAAAGAAAGAGTGGTCGTAGCAATGTATGTGTATCCAATCAATAAGTGTTATGCCCTCATCAGCTGTCCGCATGAGTAGCCGCGTAGGTAAGATCAAATCGGCGGTCTGTTTCATCGTTTCTGTCCGACGCGAATAAAATACATTTTCTGAGTGATTGGTTGTACAATAAAAACAAATAAAAATGATCAAATCGCACTGACATTTCAGCCTGTAAACACCGGCTTCGTAGTCGCGATTAGGAGAGTAGACAACTACTGTTCTAAGCAACAGACCGTACGTCGTTTTATGTGTTAATCTCGGTCTGTTCTTTAATTAGCTGACTCTTTTGCCTATACGTTTAATAATTTGTTTCTCTGTCTCTCTCTCTTTTGTCTTTTACTCATTGATTTTTGTCCGTCTACATATTTGCCTTTCTCACTTTTCCCCCTTCATTTCTTCCAGCGTTTATACTTGCCCTTCTCCGTCGAACTACTCTTATCTCTATTAATCCGGCTGTCCATACACTTGTCTATATACATTTAAGCGAAAAGTAAAATACATTTTTAAAGCGTTTTGAGCGCCAAAAAATTATTTTTCCAATTTACTGTAGTTATGCTTCCAGTCCAAAAAAAAACAAAAACTTGGCTATCGTCATTTGATATCAGCCGATTCGAATCGATAAGAGAAAATTCGAAGTAAGAGAAGAGTAACAACAAAAAGTTAGATGAATTTTCCAAGTTCTTCGTCCAAGCTTCAGCTTAATGATGTTAACAAAGTTTATTTGAAAAAAAATTGTGTAAAATTTGATGATTAAAAAATATTGTTTTACTTTTAACAATTCCTGGTACATTTTCTGACAGAACATACACATTCGCGTATTTGAAATATGCACAGTTTAAAAAAAAACTATTTTGCTTGATACTGCGAATAAGAATCTTATTGTTATTGCGTTTATCTTGCGAACTTATCTTTTCGCTGAATGCCAGTAAAAATTCGATGTTGAAACAAAACAAAAAAACGATTGACGTTGGAAATATTTATATTTCTTTTTAAATTATATTTATATTCTTCTTAAATGATGATCGCTCTGCGCATTTGTTTACATTCAAAGCTAGTGATAGCACTTTTTATCGCAACAAAAGATCGAAAATATTAACGACTTCCGTTCATGTTGGATATTATTTTTCACTCACGCATACGCAAATGAATATAAAAAGCAAGTGGATGTGGAGACACTTAATAAATGCTGAATAATAGTTTGTCAATTAGCTGAACGTTTTCAGTTTCAGAACGATTCGTCGTCGTCTTGTTCGCTTTCTCTTATCTTTCTGGTAGTTAAGATAAAAGGCAGACTCTATGTCACGCCTTTCGAGACCATGAGAAGTCGAACAACAAACGCACCACGAACTGGTTGATGGAAAAACGTGCAAAAGAGTATTGCATTAGTCGCCAAAATGTTATTTTTATTTCATTTTTTTTTTTTTTTTGTTTTCTTTTCTCTACCCTAGTTAATCAAAAAATTATACAGAATATATAAGTAGGAGTACATATGTGAAAAAAACACATTTAGATAAATTAAAGAAAAAAAAATTACTCAATTTTAAATTCATTACGGCTTTTAACCGGACATTGTACTCGGGGGAAATTTAAATGGCATAAATGCTTCGCCTGAACCCGCATAAAATTTCGATTGAAATTCAACCCAATGCAAACGTAACGTATGCAAGAATGCCGATAAACCTTCCATTATAACAAGGATGGCTAACGTTAAAGTCGCCCAAAATGCAAATAGAACAAAAATTACTACGCTATCCACATAACCGTGGCCACCAGCTAAACCAATTTTTAAGACCATATTCCACAGGACACTCGATAACTGATCATGCGCCAACGATAAAGCCCACAATCGTAAATACGACGCCGTATGCGATACAGATCCAAGAATGCTTTCTATGCAGTGAATACCTATTGAGAGATAATTTTTGATGTATTTCCGGATAAAATCTGTCTCTCTTTATGATGCATTTGCATGAAAAAGAGTAAATGTAAAAACATTACCTGAATGTATCCACAACTCAGCTACGTCTTCGGTTGGATCTTCTTTCTCCCTTTTTGCTGCTACGCTAATGCGAGACTGGGAAAGCTCCACATTATATACGAGAGTCCTTCGTGCGGTTGTTAAAGTAGAACGCGTGCGAGACCTACGTAGCGCAGCGCTTTTTGCTGCAATTATTCTCTTCTTTTGAGCAATTATATACAAAGGCCGACCTGCTAATAAGATTGGAATTGAAATTGTTGCAAAAATCAGTAGAACGATCTGTACAACATCCTGGCTGGAGAACATCCAGTCATTGCATTCTGGCGGTACCTCGTTACTCTTCAGCAGCAGCATATTAATAAATGTTATCAAAATTGAAGGGGCACAGGCCGAATTGTAGGGCGCTGCTATATGACCGCCGTAATTATTCCACTTAAAAAATATCATAAATACTAAATAGCAAAAGACACAGATCAAGAAAGTTATTTGCGGTATAAAGACCAAGAAGACGTCCACATAGTCTCTTTTATATGTGTAATTAACAGCTGATAAGATTAAACCGAACATCATTTGTGTTACACCCAATATAATCGCTAATTTCATTTTGAGAGAATTATACGTGGTGATGGCATGTTCTCCCGAAATATCCCAAACAGGATCCATACCAACATAGTAGGGATCGCCTAAATAATTATCAGGCCGAGCCGGATCCAGCTGAAGATGATGATTATTTTCTACGATAAATGTAGTATAATTGACGCGCCATCTAGAACCGAATATATTGAAAGATTTTGACAGGCAATCGTTATAAATAAGGCCCGTGTATATGGAAAATATTCCCATTAAAGCAATTATATAACGGCCAGCAAACATTATGGTCCATATTTCACTTGGATTTGGATCTCTGCGATTTTTTTCTATTAAACGTTTTTCTTTTATTACCATCCAAAATCCAAATGATGCCATTATAACACCGTGACCCATATCACCAAACATAACGGCGAAAAGAAAGGGAAAAGTTATAATCGTATAAGGAGCGGGATTCAGTTCGCGGTAAGCGGCAATGCCATACGCATCGATTAGATTTTGAAATCCTCTCGTAAATCGATTCAATCGAAAGTGTGTTGGTTTGTCCTCATCTCTTAAATACTTTTTGCGCAATTCCGTCACCATAGGTGGAAACATATTATCTTGGCTGTCTTTAGCGCTTTGCTGAGCTCCTACGATCAAAGCTCTTCTCACATTTCGCACTTCGGCAGTCGGGATCCAACATTCTACTTGCAAATATTTAGACATTTGCAAATGCTTAACTCTCCTCATACGATTCAGCACATAGTAGACCATAAGCATTTTTTTCAGTTTAATTTTCCATATGTAAATATCTACACCTGCTATTAATAGTATACGGAATCTATGATTTTCAGTTTGCTCAAGAATTCGATCCAAATATTTTATATCTTGATCAATATTTTGAAGGGCCAATCGTCTATCCGCTGTACCTTCGGGACATTCGAACAGCTTAATACCAAAGCCCTGGCAGACTTTTGTCAGCTTCTCTCGAATAGATGGTCCCAAAAAGTATAACATGAAGACATATTTGCGTACTAATTGAGACGATTTTCGCCCGGCCTCTTGAGGAAATGTTATTTCTTCGTGTTTTATAAAATAGTTGCCGCGTGTTATACGCCACACCATTGTCTCGAAAGCGGTAAAACGAAGTGGTGGTATAGTACCAGCAAAAAAGCTCAATTGAAATTTATCCTGCGGTTGTGCTTTACTTTTCATCTCATCATGTACTAGATCCATAATTACACTAGACGTCCATGCCATTACAGGCTCTGTGTTACGTTCACCGGTAAGAAATTCATCAGCCTTTATTATAACTTTCATGTGTTCATATAAATGATTATGTCTTCGCCTTAAACTTTCACAATTACGCTCAACATCCGTTAACTCGTCGTAAACCTCCAGCAATTGCCTTTCCATATCTCTAAGATCGATGGCTTTTGGTACCTCATCTTCATCGACATCCGGATAAAACATGACGTTTATTTTGAAATCTTCGATTTCGTCTTGTAAATGGGCAATGATACGTTGTAGATCATGGCACCGTTGTATTTCGACATTATACACATTATTAGGTATAGCGGTTTCATCGTAAATACTTCGAAACTGTACAACTCCCAAATAACCCAATTCTACGAGACAATTGAAAGCCGATTCGGTATGCAACAATATTTGGCATAACGACATCGGTTCGCTGCGAAAAAATGACATTATTCGATACCAGTGAAAAACGCTAATTAACTTCTCTAAATTAGATGGAAATTTAAATTTTTATCGAAATAAAATAATTAAATAAAATTTTTACGTTGACATATGATAAAAATTCCAAAAAAAATTAGATGTAATTCTTCTCCTTGTTCTTTTATTCAGTAAACCAACCACAGAGAGTTCGCCCAGATGTGTAAAAAGCAATGTGAATACAGAGTTCTTTGTTTGGGCCTTAGTAAAGTAGGAAATAGGTCTGGCATGTAATGTTAGTGTTTACTTATTTTAGTGTTTATTTGATTAATATCTTTTTAATTTCGCGTGTTATGCGTCCACCACATCTTTCTATTTATTTATTTTTCTAAAGTTTTATTAAGATATACATATTACTCGTCCGTCACATAGGATAGAACAGAACAGCGAGGAATAAATTCCGTTGTGTAAGAGATAATCTAGTACATGAGCTTAAAGGATCATATGAAGGAACTGATGAGGTGAGAGTAAAACGTGTAAAGAGAGTAGGTTCATAATTTTGCTGACAAGATTGCATTGTAAGCTGTTAAACTGCGAGAATGGAAAATGTCAAGAAAACTGTGATCCCGAAGACTACATATAGACAATGTGCGAATTGGGGAATGGCCAATAGAAGTGGTCTCATTCGGACAAACAAATAGGATAAGATCAGGAGATTGTAGGACTCTACATGTACATAAAGTTTTGTTTACTATGTTAATTTTGAATAAATGATCATTACCTCTCGTGTGATTAAACATCAGCTTTTAATAAGACAAATAATGTCACCTCTAAGTCCGCAGTTGATAAACCAGGCGGCTTTATTTATTTATACAAATAAAGAGTATAAACGACGACCATGGGGTGAATTATTCCATCGCAGCGCTGTCCATAGAAAGTGAGACCAAAATATATGAGAGTTGACGCTATAAAGTAAGGATCTGATTTCTAATATGTAAGGGAGAATTTTACCTGAGGAAAGTGGTTGTAAAATGGGTAAAACAGATTTACTGTCTTACACTGTAAGGATTTTCTCTTGAGGCTGAGTGCTCGCTAAGCAAATGGCTCCGACGATCGCAAGACAATCAGCCGAAAATATTATGCTAGATGGGGGATTTGAGAAGTAAACTTCTTAATTCATATTTGGAACCCAAAAGCCGCTGCCTGCAACATCGGTCTTAGATCCATTAGTAAAGATGAGCGAAAAATGTTTTCATTTAGTATTGACCAAGTTTGAGTAGCGGTGGTATACCTCTGGCGTAGGAACTGTAAACTTTCTCACTGCTAAGAACGGTGGAAAATACTGACAACCAAGAGCAATTTTGAATAATCTATGTGAATCAGTTGTTAGACTGTTGAAGTTATTAATTTCATCAGCAACAATTTTTGAGAAGGAAGGAGAGGTATCGAGTGATATGAAGTAATATATGAAAGGTAAGGCCGGATGATTCTCAAGAGATAGAATAAATAGAGTGTCCGAAATCTTGCTTGTAGAGGCATAACATTTGCCATCTGGTCCAAGCGTAGAGTGTGCAGAATTCATGCCAGCAAGCGCCGACGACGAAGGCATTTCCACTGGATTCTGTACGATTTCAAGAGGTTTTTCTTGAAATGTCCAATAAGAGCGAACAGGCGTATTCTAATTTTGGTCTGATTAAGCCAAGGTACAGTTTAGTCATGCGAGAAGGGTCAGAGCCCTAAAAAATGCTCCAAACGGATTTCAATACATTAGTGAGTTGAAAACACAGTTTGGCAATTTTGTCAATGTGGAAAGTTTCGAGTGTAGAAGAAAGCCTAAAAATCCGAACGTTTTAACAAATGCAGTAGAGAAACCACAAACGGGAAGAGGAGTAACCGTGGGAAAGGAGAGATTAATGGCTTTATCGAGTTCAGAGAGAGATATCACGTTAGCAAAAATTATCACATTCCTCATCAAGTGTTACAAAGCGATTATGGGACCAGAAGGTCCAGCAAGCTTGTCACAGAACTAGTTAAAGAGGGAGCAACGAAAGGAAGTGATACCTCCAAAAATTCTTACAGTACGCCAAAAGTCTGAGATTGACATGTCGCTATTGATACTTTCATAAAATTGTTTCCAGCCTTCGCGATTTTCCAACCTGAGGGTATAACTAACATCGGCCAAAAATTTGAAATTTATTCTAAAAGGAGATTTTTTGCACTTATTTACAACGATTCTAAGTTTGGTAGCGGAGGATAGGATTTTTTAGAAGTCTTTCGGTTCAGATCATCAGGGAAAGATTTTAAGAATCTATTAAAGAAACAACCCGAAGAGTCATTGGTTTTGATGGCATTTGAAATAAAAGAACATGGGTGAGGGACAATGGATAATAGGATATAAATCAATGCAAATTTCGATTAGACAGTGAGAACTATCTAATGTGTCGTTGAGGAGACTTAAGGAAAGCTTCAAAAAGACAAACCACGGAAATGTCACTACAATGAAGGTATTATTCAAGTTATTTTGATTTCTCACAGATGCTAGTGGAATTAAATTGCGCTATTTTCATTATTAATTAAGTGGGAATACGAGTACGAGCCAGCAGGGGGTCGCTGGTTAAGAATACCCTTGCGAAGGTCGCGAAATAAACGTTTAGCGGAGTTAATTGTAGAACCTGTTTTAGGGGACGGGTAGATATTATGTGGTTTTTGAATACTTTCAGAGATTTGAGATATATTAGAGGAATTGGTAGGATCAGTGATCATTTCGTGATCGGAAGGAAGATTGTTTTTGATGGGTGTCATAGTGTCCTGATTTGAAGATTTTATATTGGAAACGGAGATTCAAGATTTATCATCTTCTTAATTGGAACTGAGACAATAGTCTCAGCATTTGCTCGTTTGATCGTGGCTTGAGAAGTCAGTGGAGACAACTTCAGGAAACTCTCCAGTAAAAAAAAAAATATATTTTTTTTTATTTGGATGTAAGTAAGTACTCCGAGAGAAAGAGTAAGCTTGTGGCTTGACACGATTCGCTGTTTGTTTGTGTTTTCCAATTTGCTTGTATGATGGGCAAGTTTTAGAGTTAGTGCTCACCCTTACAATTGAGGCTTTTTTTAGCTTGACCGTTCGAGGAACATTCATAGTTTACGCCACACGAAGGACAAAGCGACTGACGGTTTAATCGGGAAGTTAATGCCTTCCAAACAGATGTGGAAGGATAAAACATTTCCGGAAAAACTTATGCGGACTATGACACATGAGAGATTTGATCAAATTTACGGAAGCGTATGCAAAGTTGCAGAAGACAAGTAGGGGTAGCAGAGGTGCGAATTTAAGCAGATTTTTGGGAAAGGCACTTGAGTAAATTTTAAGCTTGGTGAAATCAGAGGGGATAGAAGCAAGCCCGCGGATTTCACAGAGTTCAGATGGAATATAAACGTACGTTAAGTGAAGCATTGGCGGCAATAGAATTTGCCGTAGTCGCATCAGAGGTGATTAACTTCATTTTTTCGTTAGTCCCCAAAAAAAATCTGTAAGTTAGGGAAATCATGATATAAGTTAGGGCGGAGTTCAATTATTGGTAAAGCAATGTTTCGAGTCTCACAATACTCTACTAATAAAAAATGCCTTGGAATTTTTTTATTGGCGAACGGTATAAGCAAAAACAAAACATAGGAGGCACCAAAAAGCGATTTATCTTCGTAAACATACTTGACTACGTATAATATATATATATATATCTAAAGCGATTAATAAAAGGCTTGAGTTTCTTGAACGAAAACACCCGAGACGTTTGCATGTTGTTCAGTTATTGCACTTATAGCAATTTTATCTTGAACGATGTAAAGACAACTGGTTGCTCAAATCTTTTAAAGATCGCCAAAAATATACTACCTTCATCTCTTAACCCAAAACTGAGATAAAGCGTTAGCTTGCTTTGAATGAAGTATATTAACGTAATGTGTGCGTGTTTTTCTAAAGCAAATAAAAAAGCAGACCATAAAAATACGTAAGATTAGGATTGACGCAAAGTAGGTGCCGTTCGTCTATACACAGCTAAATTTCCATGCTTTTAAAGCCTTGGGAGGGTAGAGTAAGCTATAAGGCAAGATATAATCTCTTTAAATATATTTTGTAAAAAGAGATTCGCCGTATAAAGGGATCGAAAAAGATTTAATTAAAATATTTTAAATTGGAAAATATTCGCGAAAGTGTTTAAGAAAACCAAGAAAAATGATTCATTAACTCTTAGGATCGCATGTTATGTTTATTTTTATATACAGCAAGATATCTACGCGGGCAGCGGTTAATCTAAACAATCGTATAAATACTGCATCGTCAAGATTTATAATAAAGCGAAAAGAGAAAACATTTTTAAGCAAAAATTTCTTTTTACTTGCAGTAACGGATTCAAGGTCAATTTCAAATCTCCCGACGTTATACGGTTTACGCACACGGAATGAACATAAAACTCAATAATGATGTAAATAAAAGAGAAACCACGGAATAAAAACCAAAAAAAAGGAAAAAACATTGAAATATTTTTAAAACATACATACACTTTTAACGTACAAACATACATACGTACATAACATTTGAAAGTATATAACGTTAGTATTGTTTTACATAAATATACGGCGCACACTCTCAACCAGCTGTTAGCAACACGTACACTGCGGCGTTCATTTCTGTGAGCCCAGTCACATACTGCTAATATAAACTAATCAACCAGCCAACCCGATAATATGCGTTTTTGTTCTTTGCCTTACACTCAAAAATTACTGCTACCTATGAGTATTATAAAATGTAAGAGACTGCAGTAAGTAAATCTTGGCGATGTTTAATTTCAATTTAGCAACGCATGTACATACAATAAAATAAATTAGCAAAATCAGACTTTTTTTAAATCATTTGAAGAAAATTTTTATGTACTGTCTATGTCCTGATTCTAGCAAAAACTCGCAGTCACTACAAAAGGAAATGGAAATTTTTTGTTCAAAAAATAAAGTCGTATGTATCCAACCAATATCGGTGTTCATTGCATCTAAAAACAAGTAAGATAATTGTACTCGGTCATGACCGAATCTTTTATACCTATCACATTATATTGAAAAAGACAGCAGAAGCAAAAGTATAAATTTTTCCACTCTATGATATGAAGTGGGCACGGCTTATTTTTTCTGTGTTCAAAATGAAAGTTTTTGTCGCATAGGTGCGTGGACGTTGTAGGTGTACCCCTTTAAAAGTTTAGGTCATTTCCAAATTCTTTTGCAAATTTATAGGCGATATCCTCTACTAAATTAACTAACTAACTTTGATACACTAACTAACTAAAATTTGATACACTATCATATTGGATAGGCGTGGTTAATTTTTTCTATTTTCATACACATACTGCAACATCACGCATAAAATATTCTTTCAAATCTTTGCACATATATTTTACCTGTAGTGAGAATGAAAACAATTTTTCATTTCTTGTGAAAAACGGAAGTTTTCTCAGTTTACGTCGTGCTGCGGGTATGCCCCATTTTCAATACCAACCTAAATGCAAGAACTTTCAATGTTTCTGTCATATATGAAATCGATAGCTCCATTTTTGCAGCCAGGAGAATGTTTAAAACAGACATTAAGCAGACGGGCATACTTAATTCTATTCTCCGAAGCTTTTTTCTGAGCGTTGCAAAAGTATTGACAAAATGAATATACCCCTCATCATTCGGTGATGGATATAAAAAAAAGACTCACCGTTTTTTTTATACGCAGCAGCTAGAGATGATTATTGAAGACACCCCCGAAGGGTGTCTAAACAGTTCAGAGACCTCTGTTAACTCGTTTTTCTGTAAAAGAACAAATAAGAAAAGGGTTAGAGTACGTTTTTAAAGGAAAATTTATAATAGTTTTGTACCGGATTCTTCTACATTTTTTTTTAAATGTCTACCTCAGAGGAGTTCCTGTAACACGGCAATGGTCAAAAACAAGTCAGGAAAGAGAGGGAGCGGTAGGGAGGACATGGCCGAAGACTAGTGTGTGTCCAATCGATAAGTGTTATGCCTTTATCAACTGACCAGTGACTGTACCTACGACTAAGGTGAACTCGCCATTTTTACCTACTCGACTATTTATGCAGAAATACTACTGAGTCGGAAAAATAAGGGGAATTTGTTTTTAACCCCGAACTTCTTAATTTATTCTTCCAAATCAATTCCGTCGCCTTTATAACAGTCAAAACTGTTCCTTATTAACGATTTGGCCTGGCGGAAAGAATTCGCGACGCACAGCAACACGAAAACTGAAGAAAACTTTTAACAGCACCCTGATTTTTTAACGATTTTGAGGTGGTTTTTTCGAAATTTTCTCGATATTCTCTCGATTGATTGTTTTTCATAAAAGAAGTTCTCCATCGAATATCTCAAAATTTGAAAATGCAGGAATATCAACCAAAATCTTTGCAGAATTGTGAAGGCAGTCTTTCTGATGATTCTACACAGACGGACAAATAGAAAGGCAAACGGAGGGACATTTTTAGGTGCATTCCGAATTTGAAACTGACCAAAACAAAAAAGAAACTATATATGGTTTTTGAAATTTGGTTCTGTGCATTATAAGGGTTTTGACGTAAAACTGAAATTTTGGTATACTATGATATTGGGTAGGCGTGGTCGATTTCTGCCATTTTTGCACAGATGTTTTGGCAGCGCCAATAGAATGTACGTTCTCCTTTTTACAGGTTTACCTCTTAAAATTCGTGAGCAATGAGTCATAACCTAATATTTCTTCTCTTGGGAAGACAGACATGTTCTCAGTTTACGTGCTATTTTCAATACCAATATGCGTGCAAGAACTTTCAATGTTTCTGCCGATAAATTCATGTTTACGGACATGCTTAAACCGATTCGGAATTTGATGCTGATCAAGAACTCCAAGCTTTTTTCGTACGATTTCTTTTATGCGATAGAAAATTCAATCAAATTGGAACATAACTGACGAAGTTATCATTTGAAAAAATTTAGTGGGTTGAATGTTCACTTATCTATTTCGATATTTGATACGTATAGATTTCATCACATGACATAAGCAGTATTAACTACATATGTATTGAATTCTATAACCGCATAATTTAATTGTTGAACGCAAAAGAATTTTCAGTTCGAATTTTCTTGGAACGGATTGCGTCTCTCGTTAGGTCGGTGAGTAGGTTTTTTGCTAATGAGATAGTTGGCGACTAATCTCACGGCTTCTTTTTTGTTTGTTTTAACGAGTAGGTAAGACAAGTTTACTTGAAGGGAACCAGAGAGTTGCTTCATTTTATTCGTTCCTGATCTGTGCACGTGACAAGTTCGCTAAATAAACTGACTTTACTGAAATGATTCAATAATCCGTAATCCGATGAAATCGTAAGAGATGACAAGCAGAATCCGATTATATAGATAACATGTACGCAGGAGTCCAACTTTGCTATAAATTAGAATGTCATTTTCTTGCAATCGATGCCAATTCTGAAAATTCCCAAAATCGTCGCAAAACTGATCACCGACTACGTGGTAACTAAAAAAAATCAAATCTAGAGAAGTGCGAGATAGTATCTTCCGGTGACGAAAGCGATTTTGAACTACTTTACCACAAGAAACTTCGTGTATCGTCAGACTATGAAGGTAGTGAAGTTTTGTATGTAAAATAAGAAGTTAACTAAATAAAATGCTTAAAAATGTTCGCATGTGTATTTTCCAGATCACATTCCAAAAGATTTGAGAACTTTCCCAGTAGCCGCCAAGTCTTGTGTCTTGATTTCATTTAAAAAAGAAATCCCTTTATTTTGTAAGGTTTTGAGTTACTTTCTATGTGAGGCTTTTTTATGGGCAACATTCACCGCATAAAAAAGACTATTTTTTATAGCTACTCGTGACCTTATGTGCGGTTTTTTTATGCGTTTTGCTTTATCGCTATCCACCGCATAAAAGTAGGTTCATGCGTACTTTATAAGGTCTCCGAAGCTCCCTTCTACGCGTTGCAGACGTTTTGACAAAATGAATACACACCTCATCGCTCGGTGATGGGTGTAAATGTCTGTATTTTCCGAAAATATCTTTAAAAATCATCTAGAATATCCTTTAAGCTAAACCAATCAAAAATTGCTAGATAACGTTTCTACGATCTAACAGTGGAAATTTGAAATTAACAGCCGCTGAAATGAGACCCCTTAAGAAAACATTTAACAGAAAGATTGAAAAACATAAGCATACCAGAGCAAATACAGGCACACAATGATTTTAAATGAAAATTTGAACTTCTTCTGAACGCTTTTGGACATAATTCTTGAACATTTAAGGGATCATTTAAGTTAACAAAGAGTACGGTGAATATAAATTCACAAAGTATCATTACTCCTTAAATAAAAACACTTAATTGCTTTACTTTATCGTATTATGAACTATTTAGACCATAAATTCTCGATGCTCTTTGTTGGTTTTTATAAATTTTCTTTTATTTGTTTTACAATAAAAATATCATAAACCGGATGTCTACAAATAATGCAGAGAAAAGTTCTTGTCATTGCAGAATGATTCTGTTGTGAAAACATTTTTCATTTTGTTTCCGGTTTCTATTAATTTTAACCTCAAAAAATATATTGCTTATGCAAAGTATAATTGAATGATTGCCAACGCAGTGACAGTTACTCAATGTTAGTGCGTTTCTTGAATTAATTGAATTCATTTATCTATAATTAGACATTTTTTAAGACAATCACCACGACAGGTGCATTCTACCTGTCCTATGTCTGCAATGTATAGAAATACGCAAATATTAGTTTGAATAAACCGACCATGTTGTGATATTGATTAGTTTAGCGGATGGCCATACGTCACAATATGATTTTTTTTGATATCATTAACCTCACTTAACTGGAGAATACCCAGGCGGCGTGCTATCGCTGTCCCGCCCTTAAAAGAATTAGGCGAACAAATCGTGACAGCATTTATTGTAACTTATGTTATTGCAGGCGTCAAGACCTGGCGCGTTTCTAATCGCGTTTTCGCTAATATAATACATCGGTCAATATTCTCTGGACTAAGTATTGGAAAAGAAAATTTTTTTACGTAGACACCTCCAAAAAATGTTTAATGACTTTTCCAACAAATTAGTATTTCTATAAAACGGTTTGCCAAAATACTTGAAATTCCGACCAGTTTTCGTAACGATCTAATCACTTGATCCAAATCTTTTTCCCTGGGGTAAGTTTCTTAGATACCATAATTGCTGAGAGCGAGATCTGGCGAATATGATGGATGGGGCAGAATTTCGTAGTTCACTATATATATTTTCTCAGTTGAAGTACACAATTTCACATTGTTGCATGGCCTTTGTAATGGCTGTAATTGAATACGGTATCCCTTTTGAAGACAGTTTTTTCATCCTTTTAATACTATCAACTAGCATGCAGCGCTCAAAGCATTCGTATATATTGGAAAAAAAAATGTTCGTCTTTTAATGCAGTAAAAAATTGTTGTACCCTACACCGTTTGTGGTGGAAGGATTATGCGGAGATATGCAACCCCCAGAAAATCTTAAGATAGAATCACCCTTTGTGATTCCGATTAGGCACCACTTTCTTAATCGAACTAACCTTGTCTGCCCGTCTGACTGTTCCTTTTGTTGTGTTCATTCTGCAGGTCGCAATTTCGAAATGATTTTTATGACATTTGGTACATCGATATGTGTTGATCTAAGAACGAACTTTATTGAAAATGATACGGATGGGACTGTTTTTTCGATCATTTTCCATTTTTTTCTGTTTAAAACGTTAATTGGACGAATTACACGAATAACTGTACTAAACGAAATTACGTAGGGTATATAATGGAGAGCTATACTACAGTGTACCACAGTGTTTTTATTGGTTAAAAAAATTTAAATATCACGACATATGTTCAAAAAATTTATTCCATTACATTTTTCGCCTTTCATAAATAGATTTGAAAAAAAAGTCCGTCATAATCAGCTAACTCACTTAAATGACAGTGCTCTTTAAGTTACAAGTGAAATAAGCAATCACTCGTTTTTCATTTTTTTTGCTAAGAAAAAAAGTAGAGCTTTTTGTTAGTCCTACGTGGTCCAAATTTGGTAAGCAAATTTCTTTGTCACGTTACTATTTTGAGCCAGCTTTCGCTATGAAATATTGAAAAATAGACCTTTTTACCAGATAAAGCTTCACATTCCGTATGAGTTATATGAGCAGGAGTTCAAACAATTGCTCCACCCGATTCAAATTTTTAACATTAACGTAATATGTTGAAATACTGCTACTCAAGGATTTTTGAAGAAAAATTTTCAGACCAATTTAGAGTGCTGAAATATGACTACTTAGCCCCTTTTGCCGAGCAATTTTGAAAATTACAATTTTTCCCCATATAATGACTTTTCAGAATAGACCGTTGTATGGGGAGTGGTTGTAAAAATAGACAGAACCGAACCATATTTCCTAGTGTTCGTCCTTTGGTCAAACCACGTCACTTTACCAAATTCCGCAAAATACCTCAATATTGCAACCTACAGCTTGAACACAAATTTACGTGGACAGACAGCAGACAGACGAGCTTACATTATATCAGATTATGATTCTGAATTGATCGATTCTGAACCCTTTCGGGTTTGCGGGTTACATACGACCGCACTAACTTTATATCCCCTTTTTTATATTCAAAACCTTGTAAGTCGAAAACAAACAAAAAAATGTTTTTTCAGTCATTTAATGAACAAGAATTTGATTAAGCTGTTAAGTAACAATTACAGAAAAACAAATAAAAACGTCATAGTCGGACAAAACCGGACATAAGGTACT